GAGGGCAGAGCTGACTCTCACACCAAAACGGTCCCTGATCCTGTTTGGCTCCTGTGTGCAGGGAGTGTTTAATCACTTTGCAAGCCATAAACACCCCAGCCCCGTGTTTCCTGACACTGGGGCTGAAGGTGGCAGTGGGAGAAGAGCTGGGAGCCCACAGAAGGAGAATGCAGCACCCCGGGGTGCCCCTGGTGCAGGGCAGTCAGCGGAAGGGCACAGGCTCGTCCCCTGGTGACACAGGAGTCACAGCAGCCCAGCAACCTGGTTCTGTCCTATTTAGGACAGGAAACAGATGCTGCCTGGCGGAGGAAGCATGTGGGGAAAACAAGTGCACCTTGTGCCGTCCCCAGCAGGAACACGGTGGGAACAGGGGGTGCTGGATGGAAACACCCCGATTCAGCCCCAGGCAGGGTAGGAGCAGCTCAGCTGGGTCTGATGGCATCGCCCTTGGCTGCACCAGTGGGGATGGGGACCCAAAGGGCCTCAGCATCCTCACAGGGAAGAACTTCTTCCTAAGACCTGGTCTAAATCTGCCCTCTCCACAACTGCTAAAAAGGACAGACAAAAGGAAACCCAACAGCCTGTGCCCTGGTAGGACCAGCAGTGTTGTGGGCGTCTTTTACATGGAGATAATGCCCCCGTGAGATAGCAACCTCATCACCACCACCAGTAGTGCACAGAGATGCTTTTTATTAACTAAGCAAAACCCCCATAAGCATGATCAATACCAATCTCTCCCCCACTTCCCCCTTTAGCTCCAGTCCAAACCTCTCCCATCTTTTGCCTTGGAAACACAAAGGAGCTTCTTTATCTGTGGAGTTCACCGGGAACCTGAACCTGGCATCACACTGCCTGGAGCTCGACCAGCTGGACACAAATACACTCACAATTGTTGCTCCAGAATGCATGATCTGAGGAGCACCTCTGTGTCTGTGCCATGTTCACCCCACTCTGGTTGCTCCCACACTATCAGTTGACCCAGCCCATAGAGCTCAGATGTTGCTCGCTCCCAGCTCTGTTTGCTGGGTGCTAGAAAGAGCCAACTCTGACTTCTGAGGCAGGATGTAATTCCTCAGAATGAAAGTGTATGTTTCTTTGAACTTCTGGATTTTGAAGGCATAGACAACGGGGTTCATGGCCGAGTTGGAGTGAGACAGCAGGATGCTCAGGTACATCAGAGCCTGCGGGGTGGCACAGGAGGGGCAGAAGTATGAAACGCAGTTCAGGATGCCCAGAGGCAGCCAAGACACTGCAACAGGAAGAGGATGAGGGCCAAATACTTGGCGATTTCATATTCCTTCCCACAAACTGTTTCTCCACTTGCTGAGCTCTGGCTGAGTTTTATCCATACGATATAAAAAATCTTGGTGTAGAGCGCACACATGATGAGCAAAGGAAGGAGGATCCAGGTGAAGAAGCTGAAATACACCACATAATCCGTCCTCATCACAGCCAGATAGTGACACTCAATGTGGCTGGAGCTGCCTGTCCGCTGGTTCCACTCCAGCATGGGGACCAGCCCCACCCGCACACACAAA